TTTTCTCTCATATTTAACTCTTAAATCCCTAATGAAGTGTTTGGTATGATGGAATTGTAATTCCATTCATACCAAACTACATGAAATTTCAATTCCATAGTTTGGTTTGGAGGAATTGGAAGTCCTAGGGGGAAATTCTGGAATTGTAATTTCATGATAAATTACTATTTTGCCCTTCTTTTTATTATATTATTATTACTCCGTATTATATAAGGACATTTTAATCTTTATCCATTTATTCTCTTTCAATTCCTAATCATTCTATTTCTGTCTACTAAACACTGTAATTTAAATTTCTATTTTATTCTTTTCCATAAAATTACAATTCCCCCCCCCCGCCCCCCCCCCCCCCCCCCCCCCCCCCCCTACTTCCCTCATTCCAACCAAACTCTATGTAAATATTATATTTTGATTTAAAATATTACATTTTTCTTTAAACTTATCACATTTTTCCTCATTAGCATTAGAGTTTCCCTAATAATTAACAATCAATCTATTATTAATTAGTAATTTAGTATCACACGTTTTCTCATAAATATTACACTTTCTCTTATAAGAAACAATCAATTAATTTATCAATTACTAATATTATACTCTTTCTCATAAGTAACTTTTCAAGCTCAAAATATTACAATTTTTTTTAATTTAAAAGTATAACATTTTCTTTCAAAAGTATAACATTTTTTCTCAAAAATATTACACTTTTTCTAATAAGCAACAATCATTTTATCTTATATATTTAGGGTGTGTTTGATTGGGGACTTTTGCACCCTACGGGTTTTCATATCCATCATCATTTTTGTTTGTCTACTTTTGTTATTTTACTATTGGCATCAAATCCTTTAATAATTAAAAAACTCATTATCCTTTTAGTCTTCTACTTTAAAACAATGGAATCATAAATAATGGAGAAAAAAATAAAAAATAAAAAATAAAAGGTTATTGTCCATGATATATATATATATATATATATATATATATATATATATATATATATATATATAAATAAGAGATCACATGTGAATACTGTGCCCAGGTGAAAGATGGGTTGAATGACAGCCGTTGATCTCGTTAAAAAGGACCGTCCAGATTGAACGCATATTAAAAAAAATGTGATGGCAATTTGGTATTTTTGCATTTAGGTCAAACTTAAGGAGCGTGGTTTTCCTTCTTAAGGTGCGTTGTTTCTGTGCTTTAAGGTGCGTCGGTTCTTCAGTTGAGAACTTAAGGTGCGTTTTTGTTAAAACTTAAGATGCGTCGGTCTAAAATTTTAGGTGTGTGATTTTACTTCTTAAGGTGTGTGGTTTTCCTTCTTAAGGTGCGTGGTTTGTGTACTTAAGGTGCGTGATTTGTGTGCTTAAGGTGCGTCAGTTGTTAAAATTTAAGGTGTCACAGTCTAAAACTTTAGGTGCATGGTTTTCCTTCTTAGGGTGCTTTGTTTCTATACTTAAGGTGCGTCAATTATAATACTTAAAGTGCGCCATTTTAAAACTTTAGGTGCATGGTTTGTGTTCTTATGGTGCGTGGTTTGTCTACTTAAGGTACGTCATTTTAATGCTTAAGGTTAAGGTGCGTTATTTCCTTTTAGACGCACGTTTTTTTTTTTAATTCTCATTGATTAGAGCCGTTGATCTAGATTTGATCAACGGCTAAGATTAAACCACATGTTCGCACCTGAGCAAATTTTCGCACCAGATCTCACCCATATATATATATATATATATATATATATATATATATATATATATATATATATATATATAAGGGTTCAGGTGCGGGTATAGCTTCCCATGCGGTTAGATATGAGTAGTTGATCAAATCTAGATTAACGGCTCAAATCAATAAAAATTAAAAACAAAAAAAAAACAAAAAAAACGCGTGTCTGGAAGTAAGAAGCATAAGATAAAAATGGCGCACCTTAAGTGTTAGATCTTAAGCACAAACTCACGCACATTAAGTACGAAATCCACGCACATTAAGCACAACCTCACGCACATTAAGCACAAAACCCACGCACTTTAAGTATTAACTCACAGACCTTAAGTTTCAACAACTACTGACATTAAGCACAAACTCACGCACATTAAGCACAAAACCCACGCACATTAAGCACAAAACCCACGCACTTTAAGTATTAACTCACAGACCTTAAGTTTCAACAACTACTGACATTAATCACTAACCTCACGCACATTAAGCACAAACTCCACTCACATTAAGAACAAATCTCACGCACCTTAAGCACAAAAGCCCACACTTTAAGTTTTAACAACTACTCACATTAAGCACAACCTCACGCACATTAAGCATAAAACTCACGCACCTTACGCACAAGACTCACGCATCTTATATACAAAACTCACGCACATTAATCACAGAACACTCACCTTAATTTTGACCTAGATGCAAAAATTACAAAATTGTCATCGCATTTTTTTTTAAATTTTGGTAATCCTGGACGTTGATTTAAGCGAGATGAATGGCCTAGATTAAACCGCACAATCGCACCTGGACACCCTAACCGCACCAGAACTTATACATATATATATATATATATATATATATATATATATATATATATATATATATATATATATATATATATATATATATATATATATATATATATATATGGAAGGGTTCAGGTGCGGTAAAAGCTTCTCGTGCGGTTGTGCGATTGATGCACAAGCATTAAAATCTAAATCAACGGCTCAAATCAATGAAAAAAAAACGTGTGTCTGGAAGAAATGAGCTAAAAATGACGCACATTAAGTGATAGAAACACACACCTTAAGTATTAGAACAACGCACCTTAAGTATTAGAACAACGCACCTTAAGTATTAGAACAACGCATCTTAAGTGTAACAACGCACCTTAAGTATTAAAACAACGCACCTTATGTGTTATAACAACGCACCTTAAGTGTTATAACAATGCACCTTAAGTGTTAAAATGACACATGTTAAAAGTTTTGTTCTTGAGGGTCTGAACCACCCTTCAATTCAAAAGTTTTGTTCTTCTTGTGGGTCTGAACCATTCCTCAGTTCAAAAGTTTTGTTCTTCTTGAGGGTCTGAACTACCCGTGACTTGTAGAGAAGGGTGCACAAAGAAGAAACAGGACACACCTTGAGCACAAAACACACGCACCTTAAGCACAAAACTCACGCACCTTAAGTGTTAAAATGACGCACATTAAGTTTTATTCAAAAGTTTTGTTCTTGAGGGTCTGAACTAACCCTTAGTTCAAAAATTTTGTTCTTCTTGTGGGTCTGAACCACCCCTCAGTTCAAAAGTTTTGTTCTTTTTGAGGGCCTGAACTACCCGTGACTCAAAGAGAAGTGTGCGCAAAGAAGAAACAGGACGCACCTTAAGCAAAAAACTCACGCACCTTAAGTTTCAACAATACTCACATTAAGTACAAAACACACGCACCTTAAGCCCAAAACTCACGCACCTTAAGCACGAAACTCACGCACCTTAAACTTGACCTAGTTGCAAAAATTACCAAATTGTCACATCATTTTTTTTTTTTTTGTAATCCTGGACGTTGATTTAAACAAAATCAATGGCTCTCCTCTCATCGCACAACCGCACCTAGGGCTACCAACCGCACCAGAACCTAATTCTATATATATATATATATATATATATATATATATATATATATATATATATATATGAAAGGTTCAGGTGCGAGTACAGCTTCCCGTGTGGTTGTGCGGTTGACGCACCTTAAGTACACAAACAAAGCACCTTAAGAACACAAACCACGCACCTAAGGTTTTAAAATGGCGCACCTTAAGTTTCAACAACTCACGCACTTTAAGCATACAAATCACGCACCTTAAGAAGGAAAACCACACACCTTAAGTTTCAACATCTACTCACCATAAACACAAAACTCATGCACCTTAAGTTTCACACAACTACTCACATTAAACACCTTAAGCACAAAACTCACACACCTTAAGCATCAAAATCACGCACCTTAAGTTTCAACAAATACTCACATTAAGCACACAACACACGCACCTTAAGCACAAAAATCACGACCTTAAGAAGGAAAATCATGCACCTTAAATTTGACCTAGATGCAAAAATTACCAAATTGACACCATGTTTTTTTTTTAAATTTTAGTAATCTTGGACATTGATTTAAGCAAGATTAATAGCTCAGATTTAACCGCACAACCGCACTTAGGCGCATATATATATATATATATATATATATATATATATATATATATATATATATATATATTCTTTATTTTGATTTCAATTTCAATTTCCTACCAAACAAAGTAACTCCTTCCACTTAAACCTATTGTCATTAACAAATATTTGATTCCCATTACTATTTGGATTCCAATATTTAAACCAAACACACCCTTAAAGTAATTATTCAATTTTTCAACTACTGTGTATTACGATGACACGTTCGTTACCATTCCAATTTTAAATAAGTTGTATTACATGTACTTCCTACTTCTACGTCATCACTTTTATTCCCTTATGTGACAATTGGTGATTAGTTATCTCCATCCTGTGGGTCCTAATGAAAATGACAACATCAAAATTTTGTAAGAGAGAGTAAAAGTTGGGGGTAGAATTCGAGAGTAAGAGTAGCATTTGCCATTCTAAATAGGTGTTAAAAAAAAAAGTAATTATTCAATTTAAATAAAAGGTGAAATATTATTTCATTTAAAATATAAAAATATAAAAATATAAAAATAATAGTTACTAGACAGATGGATGTGAATGTGATTGCAGTAACTTAAGTGATTTCCAATCATTTTATTTTTGACTTGTGACTCGGACACACCCATGCAAGCCTACAAACATCACCACTACTCTTTCCTACAAATCCGAAGCCCACTCTCCATTTTTATTCCTTCCTTCTCATAATTTTCTCTATGTCTTCTCTTTCCATTTCATCTGATCTGCACCGATATGATATGATTTCTGAAAATACTTGTTTTGACAGTGTTTGATACATGCAATGGCGTGCATGAGGCTTGGCTCAAAATCTGAGGCTTTTCATCGTGAAGGCCAGTCTTGGTAATTAGCATCATATCTTTCTTGATTTGATCTCCATTAAGGATTTCGATCTGGCTTTTTTAGGTTTTAATTTCTTCCTAAACCTTTCAGGCATTGCACTTCCGGGCTTCCCAGTGATGTTACAGTCGAAATTGGAGAAATGTCCTTTCATCTTCACAAGGTAAACATCCATATCCCACGTTTTAATTTGCTGAAAATACTGCATTTAATTTAAGGGTGACGATGGAACCTGCCCCGCCTCTCTTGTGACCCTAGCGGTAAGGACCTAAATTAACTTAGGTTGTCTGATTGGCTCAAACCAAAAAGGCTGGAATTTGAACTAGTGACCTTATGGTTATAAGTTTAATTATGGCCCTGTTTGGTAAAATAATTCGTCTATAGGCCAATTTTGACTTTTTTATCACTATTAATTGTTTGATTTAGTTAAAATATCAATATAAGTGTTTGGTTAATTAGTTTTTTGCAACTCCGAAATTCTAAAATTCAAAAAATTACTCCAAGCAACTTTTTCAATTAGCTTTTTTAGAAAAGAAATTATACCAAACAACTATCAGCTAACATCCAATTTACCAAACACTTTTCTACAATAACTAATGTTATCAACTAGTTATACCTTCTAATTAACACAATCAGCTAACAGCTAACCATTTACCAAACAAGGCCTATATCTTTAGCTATCTTGGCTGAGATTATCTGTGATTGTATTATTGAGATAAGTTTGATTTGATTGTATGGTGTGGTGTGTGCAGTTCCCTTTACTATCCAGAAGTGGGCTATTAGATAAGATGATCAGAGAATCGAACAAAAACGATGGATCAATGTGCATTTTGCAACTGGGAGACATACCTGGAGGGGCTAAAGCATTTGAGCTTGTAGCCAAGTTCTGTTACAGCATTAAAATAGAGCTTACAGCTTCAAACATAGTAAGCCTTAGGTGTTCAGCAGAATACCTTCAAATGACAGAGGACTATGGGGAGGGGAACCTCATTGTACAGACTGAGCTTTTCCTCAATGAAGTTTTCGCGAATTGGACCGACACCATTAAAGCCCTCGAAACGTGTCAAGAAGTTATCGCGCAGGCAGAGGACCTCCACATTGTGCCCCGATGCATACACTCGTTGGCCATGAAAGCCTGCGCTGACACCACCACCACCACCACCGCCACGCTCTTTAACTGGCCAGTCGCGGGCTGCAGTGGCACCGTCAATGCTGGTGAAGTTTGGAACGGGATAAGCAGCGGGGGTGGGGCCGGGGGCGGGGCAACGAAGCTGCAAGTGGCGTCGTGCACGTCAGATGATTGGTGGTTCGAGGACGTGTGCTTCATCAGCTTACCGTTCTTTAAGCGTTTCGTGAGAGCTGTTGAGGATGGAGGTATGAAGCCCGAAAACATTGCAAGCTCCCTTGTTTACTATGCAAAGAAATACATTCCCCTAATGAACAGGCAATCCAGCTTTAAGGATGCCAGCCAGGCCAAGTCTAGCTCCAAAATCTCCACACCTTCGGAGACCGACCAAAAGGCACTCCTGGAAGAAATTGTGGGGCTACTAACGAGCCAGAAAGGGGTCGTGGAAACCCGGTTCGTGCTCAGGCTGCTTCGCACCGCTATGATGTTGCAGACGAGCCAGTTGTGCAGGGAAAGCTTGGAGAGACGAGTCGGGATGCAGCTCGACCAGGCGTCACTAGACGACCTCCTCATACCAAACATTGGGTACTCGGTTGAAACCTTGTACGACATCGACTGTTTCCAAAGGATTCTCGATCATTTCATGTTGATGGACCATCACACATCAGCAGCGATCGCGATCGCTGCTGATGAAACTCCATTTATCATGGAAGAAACCACCACCACCACCACCACCCATTCTTTAACATCGATAACACGGGTTGCCAATCTGGTGGACTCATATCTTGCTGAGGTAGCACCAGATGTTAACCTCAAGTTCCCCAAGTTCCAGGCCCTGGCTGCTGCAATCCCGGATTATGCAAGACCACTCTCCGACGCCATCTATCGTGCAATTGATATATATCTAAAGGTACCTAGTTACTGTTGAGCATATAACCATTAATGTGCAATTCAACTATCAGCTTAGCCTTTTAGTTGAGATGGAGCACATGCTTCAATTTGGTACATACCATGTCAAAGGTGGGTTCGAATCTGAGCATCCGGCTCTTGCTGGGGTCTTTATTTTCTTATCCCGCCACACATTTTCGAGAGGCAGGCATGGTTCTGGACTTGCCCATTAGGCCTCCGATCCGCCCAACAATCTCCAGCCTTAACTGCTCTTGTTGGGGCTCGAACTCATAACCTAGCTCGATCGCTACGCCAAAAGCTGCTATAACTTATAGCTAAGGCGCAACTTTATCTTCCGCCCAGCAAACAAACCCGAACCATCCAGCCAACATATCACATTTAATTTGGGTTTCAGGCACATCCTTGGCTTGCAGATGCAGAAAGAGAGCAAATTTGCAGACTGATGAACTGTCAGAAGCTTTCGTTAGAGGCGAGCACACACGCAGCGCAGAACGAGAGGCTGCCTCTGAGAGTGATCGTCCAAGTCTTGTTCTTTGAACAGCTCAGGCTGCGCACATCCATCTCGGGCTGGTTCTTCGTCTCCGACAACCTGGAGGGCTCGCAGAATCAAAACGATGAGTGCCACGAGCACTGCAAGGGAGGAGGAACAGGAATGGAAGACATGAGGCATCGCGTTGCTGATCTCGAAAAAGAGTGCCAAAACATGAGAGAAGAGGTGCAGAAGCTGGCGAAAACTAAGAGGGGTTGGAACTTTTTTTCCAGACGAAAATCTCATTATAATTCCAGGGCATCAAGGCAGTGCAATGCACAACCTGCTGCACCACTTAACAGGGAACAACAGACTAACCAAAATGGTGGCTTAGCTTAACAATACAAATTGACTTTTTTTTTTTTTTTTCATTCATATTAATTATGTAAGCTTATACAAATTTTCTGTCTGTTGTATTCATTTACTAGAAAGTGATAACTATTGTTATTCAATTAAATCTACAGTCCATCAATTTTAACAAAATATATAAATAAATAAAAAGTTCAACTCGAAATAGAAACTTAGTCATTAATGTACAAGAAATCAAAACATCTTACAAAGAAACAGGAGACAACTGCTTACAAGTACTAGACTACTAGCCACTAGACAAAACCAGCATTAAGGATGATATTGCTTTTTACAGTTGCTGTTCTTACCAGCAACCAAAATCTTCCCAAATGCACACTTTTGTCTGGGCGACTCTTACTAAAGGGCTTGCACATATATATATTTAACATTTGTAAGGATACTCACAGTGGCACTTATATGATAATGAACAAACAAAGAGCATAGGCTGCTGTACTATTTTACAAAATTACCTAGAGGCTTATCAAACATGCATTCTGAAATCTACGCGTGCCATTTCCGCTTCTTCACCAATATTGTCCACTTAACGACAGCACGAATTTTGCACCACCTAGCTCTTGGCTTTCCAGTCTTTGAGCTGTTGATGCCAAAACTAAGAGAAGCTGGTTCAGTGCTTGAAGTAGCAGACAGTCCATAATTTGCCAGCCAAGGCGGCGGTGACTCGAGCTGATAGTTACTGGGTGTAGTGGTTGGATTATCAGTGATAATTAGTGGGTCCTGTGAACCACTGGGAGCCCAAACATCTCCAGCATAGACAGCAGAAGGATTATTGATAAGAAAACAGCTGCTGCTGCTTCCCATTCTATGAGAACTTTCGGGCATAGATACTCCAAATGGACTTTGTTGCAATTCGTAATTTGGCGGTGAGATTGTGGTATGATCGGAGTACATCTGCATCTCCAACTGATCTGTATGTGGAAAAGGATAATTAGTTACATACACCAGCCAACTATTTGTGAGCTTGGAAAGAGGAAAACGGTTCAGAGTCCATATGAGTTTATAAGGCCATGAGTTAGACTAGTTAATTGAGTGGATTCAATCTTTTAGTGCGGTTTGGCCCATGTGCGTAACATGGTATCAGAACCTGCCCTTGGAGTTAATTATTTCAATGTGCCCACAGAATGTTTGAAGGGCTTATATGCTCTTATATCTTCCTATTATCAAAAAGGGAAGACAAGGGCGAAATGAAGTTTGAGAGTTTAGTACCTTGCTCAACTGGGAAGTTAAAAGTCTCTTGACTCGAACTAGGGCTGATAGACAGGCCAACTTGGGGATTTGGCATAACCATAGGGTTGCATATGATGGAGTGATCCTCAACCAAAACAAAATCTTTAAGGTTTCTGTAAGCACACTGCTTAAGATCTTCCACCATCCGCTGCCATTAGACAACAAACACTGTCAGTTCCGGTCATGGATTTCTCATTCATTACAAAAACATGCAAAGCGATTGTATTATGGACACCAACAATAACACGGGTGGCAATCTAATCTGTTAGCTAGTCTAACCCATAGTCTTATAAACTCATATGTTCTCTCTTATTTTATCAATGTCAGTGAACTACAATATGCTTACAACTTCGCTATTCAGCAAGAATTATTACAAACATGATTATTCTGAGTCTTCTAGTTTTAGGTTATTTAGAGCAAGTCTTCAAACATCTATATATGAAATTGGACTGAATTATTTTCCAGGATAGGAATACAAACCATTTGAAATATGTTAAGTCCGTCAAGTGGCTGGTAGTTTTGGCCATCAAAAATAGCTCCTACAATCTTAAAGATCGAATTGAACACAAGCACAATACTTTCCGCAACCTTGTACATGTACCACTCATTATCATCCACAACACAAGTGGTGGCATGTTCTATGATTTTCTCCCACGTGTTGTTTGACATCCCGTAGCCAAGCATCTACGATGCCCACAAAGGGTTAGAAGATTAAATGTACAATGAAGCCAAATAAAAGAGAAATTCAAACTAGAGACTCGACAACTCATAAAAGACGATCAGGATATAGCCTAACCTGGCGCAAATCAGATGGATTTGTGGTGTACATCCTTAGAAAGCATTTAACTGAAGATATTCCAATGTCAGTCAGTTTCTTATGGGAAGCACCATCTTTAGCTATCTTTTCCAACCGCCATACTTTGTCGTGCAAGGATGGCGGGTAATGCTTCCTGTATGCTGCATCCAATACACAATATCCGGTAAACAAAATGAATTGATCGAACTCATAATCTTCTATAGAAGGCTATTAAGTAGTTAAATCACTAAAACGGAACTTGCAAACGTTTTTTGAAATTTTATTTGATGTGTAAAATGAGGCACTTAACATATTTATCACTTGATATATGTAGGGATATGATTGTGCAAAACTTACACTCTCCACGATGATCTTTTACAGTGAAGGCTTTGCTTATTCCTTCTCTGACTCTTTGCTCACCAGAATTACAAATGGTTTTTAATCCTAGCCGAAATTTCCGGCTCCTTATCCAGCTTGAGTTATCAGTGAAATTAATATCACCAATATGACCCATGCCATTTTTTAACTGAATCACCAAATCCCCAGTCAAGAGTGGCCTTTTGCCATCTCTTTCATGGACAACTTTATTATTGAACTCCTGTTCTGTCCAATCTTCTCGATCATCCGGACTGAAATCACCATCAACCACAACAAGATTGATTTTAACAGAAGACAAGGGCCCTGATGTTATTCTCCTTCTGGAATAAGCATCATACAAGACAATTTCCACAGGCTTACTGCCCTCAGATTCAATCTTACTGAATGTGAAAATGGTAGTGGGAAATTTATCATTGATATGTAGATGGAATGCACTTGACCGGGACGGCTCAATTTGATTAAGTGGAGATCTACAACAAACAAGACCCACCTTATAGACGGTACAAAGAAAAACATATACTCCGAATATATAAAGCTTAAATATAATACCAAACCAGCTTAACATCTTTGTAATGACTAATGAGATAAAGTATTGCAAAATTATAATATTCACAAAGTCATATCACCTTCAACCTAAGTCACATTATTATGCAATATTTATATTTAAAAAAGAAAAGAAGAAAAAAACCGTCAAGCAGTGGATGCAACAAGAATATCAAATTATTTAGTGCAACTGACCTGAGGGATGAGCGGATTGCATTTTCAACCTCCTCACGAACCTATTGTCATTCAAGTAATCAGAGCATAAGTATGAAGATTTTAGAAGAAAAAGTTGCTTAGTGAAGAAAACAACAATCAGTTTGTAATTACAACCAATAAATTAGTCTTCCCAAACATTTCTAAAAAAAAAGGTCTGCTTCACAACTGGTTAGTCAAATTATAACCCCAGACAGACCTTGCTGCTGAGCACAAATGATATGAACTAACTTAATCAACCACGAAATTTCTATGCAGCAATTAAAGTTAAACTGAACATCAAGCAAGCCGCAAGCTTTAAATAATTTACACAACAAATGAATTTAAAACAGAATAACACATGCTACACTTTCATAGTGGTCTAAATTCAAAAGTATGTGTTTTGCAGACTACACTGCAATAGACAATAATTACAGAAGAGATCCTATCCCAAACAACATTGCAATAGACAATAACTACTACTAAGCAGAGAGAGATCATACCAAGCGCCGAAAGAAGGGTTCCAACTTTGGAGCAAGCTCTGAGGATCCGCTCTTCAAATCAGTAATAAACCTGCATATATATATAGCATCAGCTTCCGTATATGAAACTGTAAGGATCAAATGCTTACCACTACACCAAAATTAAAGCTATAGAGGTGCAACTTTATTTTCGAAAAGCAGGTGCAGGATGCTGAAGGGCTGAACTTGGCCATTTACTGGCCTCCGCCCAACAATCCTCTGGCTACCAATTGATGGACTTGACCCTTTATCGACTTCTGCCCAACAGAAACAAATGGAGGGAAAATGATTTTCCTTCCAAATATGTACTATAATAAACACAGGAAACAGGCTACTTACGTAGCAAAAGAATGCAGGCTCTTGGATGCCTGAGGAGCTGGATTTTCAGAGCCGTCATCACCCCTGTGAGTAAAGTTCCGCTTCTGTACCATCAAAATGCAACTAAGAAGTGATCCTAAACTATCAAATTCTCCTGCCCAGTCTTAAGATCGATCAGGTAACCGAGAACTGCCCCCACACAACACAACTGCTCTTTAGAATAATAATATATATATATATATATATATATATATATATATATATATAAAGCTTATTGCTGACAGAAGTTTACACGAAGCTTCGCTCTGATTACTTATCAACACCCTAGAAAGTCAAGGAGATATTCCATTACCATATATACACACACATAAAATACAACACTTTAGTATCCAGAAGAACACTTTAGTACTTTACACAGGAATGGAATATACACAAACAGTTTGTGTGTGTGTGTGTGGGGTTCTTGAATTTTATATGATTTCTTTTGAATTTTTTCCAAGAGCTCTAGGGTCACATCAACATCAACATCAGTGGGCTTTCCAAGGAATCACGGCATACTTCAATTTGAGTTTCAAGTTTTCGCCGAAGAACCGCGTGAAATTGGAATTAAACGTACGAAAAAGAGTACAATCTCGGAATCAAGAATTTAATAAAAAGGGGTTTTGAAAATTGAGGCATCCAAAAGCCAATCACATCAAACAATGTGGGAGTTAGAGAGAGACAAAGGATGACCGCAACGCGTATCTGCTGACTAGACTGATATGGAAATGTGTTTTGCACTTTTACCTGGAAATTTGATGGAAGATGCAATAGCCAACACAACATATCTTCAAAATCTCATTCTGTAAAATACAAAAATGCAAATCTTAACTCTCAAAAACTTTTTGTCTTACGTGTTTTGTTGAATTAAACTAATAAACTGTGGAGTGTTTAGCCCAACTTAATTAAGCTAATTTATACTCCACTTCCTCAACTAGCTTGTCTCACCAATATTCTTCTACTTTTAAAATTAAATAAACCATATTACTATATCATAGTATTTATAATTTATTACATTTTCTTTTACATTCATTTGCTTCCAATTTTTTTTTTTTTTTGAAAATCATTTGCTTCCAATTTACTTTCAAGGGTTATTAATAATTTGAATGGGTTGAAAATTATAATTTGTTAGGAAATAAACATATAAGAGCATGTCCATCATTAGCCTTTTTGAAAATTTTTTAGAGTTTTTCGTTGATACGGGAAAGAGAAGAAAAAAGAATTTACCGAGAAATGAGTTTTTCCTAATATAGTGGATCCACTTAGAAAAATAATAACAATAAAAAAATAAAGTTGGTACTCATACAGTCATACTGCTCCCCAGTAAAATTTAGTGGGCATGTTAAGCGTTGTTGCCAACAAATGTTGGGGTAGCTCTAAAATATTCAACACCAAATTTAAGTTTTTTAAATTTGTAATCTATGGTTATACATAGTGATGGGATATTAAGGAATCTACTGTCATTATTACTCTATAAGCTGACTCATATACTTCACAGCTCGGGAGTAGGGGCTAGTAACATGATAAGTGTATAAATGACAGACCTAACCCAGAGATCCCGGAGAACCCTGGATCAAGTGTAATAGTCATTGGGTTCTGTCTCGTCGTGGCGACATCACCTCAGTTCTTGAGCTAGCGGGGGGGGGGGGGGGGGGGGGGGTATTGCATCCTTGCCACCAATTGAGTTAGTGTCATTGATGCCTGTTGAATTGCCTAGGCAGTTGCATGGTCCAAAGGTGGAATTAGTGCTCTGAGCCACTGTTGGCCTCCACCACAGTTGTTGTTGAGCTAGTCACGGAGGTCGTGCAAGTTTGCTGGCAAGGCATTCATGTTTGCATTGCCATCGCGGTTCAGGTTGTGAGAGCCATGGGAACTGCTTGATCCTGATCCTGTCATTTTTTAGTTTCTAAAGAATGGTAAGTGTTTAACACTTGAAAGTTTATCTCAGTCTCTCATTAAAAGCATCAGTTAACAGTAATAATGTTACCAATATTACCGAGTATGTCTAGTACAAGATTGTGAGCATGTCATCTACTTGTCATAGGTATCTAATCTTTATACTAATGAATACACCAACTCCTATACTCAGTAAGCCTATAATAACTACGAGCCTAGTAACTACGCGCCATCCTCATTAAGCGCCCCGCCACTTCATAATTATTATTCCTTTAATAAGGCGATGCTCTATAATAAATCTCATGGTCTCCTTTTAAGTGCCCAACGATCGTTATCCTGGAGATAACTAGGAACTCATCGAAGTCGTCCGTCTGGAAATATCAACATATCATAAATAATTAAAAAAAAATCATCATATTTTTGTAAATAACTCAAACTTTGGAGTGCAAGTTAATTACATGTGTTTGAAGTGCAAGTAACATGTACAAGTGTGCAAATAAAAGGTGCAAGTAATATCACTATAAGTGCAACCTTTTACACTATAGAGTGTGAGTAATTATCTTTCAAATTCGGTGTAACTAATGATAATGTTAGGTGCACTTAATATTGTTGCTTAGGTGTACTTTAATTTACATTGTGTCACCTTATTTTTTTAAAATTGCTTATGATGCATTAGATCTTTTCAGATAGATGGCTCTGATTGGTTCTTAGTTCTCTCATGCGCACATGTTCTCTCATGCGAGTCAAATAGACTCTTTAATTTTATATGGATAAAATAATTTGACCCTTGAACTTTAAAAAAGTTGTAATTAAACACTAATGCTTGTGGGCTTAATGCAATTATGTGTGTGTGTAGAATTACAAATTTGTAAGTAAGAAAATCATATTAGGCAATTATGTTAATAAATAATTATTATTTTGGTACATTAATTTCGACAAGTTATTACATAGAATTAATTCCTTAATTATAATAATAAAAAAAATTATTATTATTTTGATACATTAATTTCGACTAGTTAGTGCACAAAATTTATTCCTTAAGGGGATGTTTGGTTCATGGAAAATGTTTTCCAAAGGAAAACATTTTCCTTAAAGTGAAGGAAAATGTTGTTTTCTAGTGTTTGGTTCATGGAATTTATTAGGATTTTGTTTTCCATGGAAGATGGGAAGAAAAAGTGAATAGATTGCCTATTATACCCTTGCTTTCTTTTTTAATTATATTACTTTTATTAATTTGTAGGGGCATATAGGTCTTTATACTCATTATTCCTTACAATTCCAAATCTAACCAAACAATAGAATTAGTATTCCCAGTAAATTTTGGTCCCCCAACCAAACAATGAAATTCATCTTCCTAGTAATTGTTTTTCCATGGAATTTCAATTCCACTTCCCTTAAAATATTTTCCGCGAACCAAACGAGCCCTAATTATAATAATATTATATCTTAGTTAAAATATATATGCATAGAATTATAAATTTGTATGATTTTTCAAAAGGAAAGTATAAGTAAGACAATTATATCAGACAATTATGTTAATGAATAATTATTGTATTTTGATACATTAATTTTGATTAGTTAGTACATAGAATTAATTCCTTAATTATAATAAAATTTAATATGAACTTTGGTCAATTAATCAACCATGATATATGCATAGCATTCAAAATTGAGTATGAAAAATTACAAATAAGGAACCTTAAAATCAGTTTCTTACTTTTTTTTTTTTTTAAATAGTCATTATCATACCATAAATATTCATGTATTTCTTGTCATTAATGCTACATCCTCTCCACTATAAAACTAAAGGTTTCATGCATGATTAATTAAAAAAAAAATCACACACTCTAATATTTCTTAAATTAGTACATATCTTTAAAATATTATTGCAATTCTATCTATGTTAAAAATAAAAAATAAAAATAAAAAATTTAAAAAAAAAAACCTAATCTAACAAAATAATTGCTGTTTTTTTTTTTATTTTTTTTTTACAATGCAAAATCATTAAAACATACCACATGCATTGAACATATGAAACTGATCTTTTATTTCTTAAAGTAGGTTATTCCTACAAAAATTAAAAGCATATATATGTAGTAGCCTTTTATAAATTTCGACGATTCTTTTATTATATTATAATAAGTTGATTCAAATTTTAGTGCTATATTATTAACTTTAAAATGTTTCATTATAATTATCATAACATATAAATATGTCATTGTTTCATTTTTACGAATATATATTGGTTTTATGTCACATTATATTTTACTAACTTTGCTGTGATGAAATAAGGTATTTAGTGCACTACATTTTAGCTAGCACAGAATATTTCAAATTTACCCGTGGTTCAGTATATTAGGACTCTATGTATATGAGTCTGTTTAGAACTTCTTATCCTTGTCACACTGTGACTCTCTACTTCTTATCATTGTCACACTGTGACTCTCTATTCTATATATTCACATCATCTGATCTCATTGTAATTAAGTTCAGTAAATACAATATAATCAGTTCTCATCTGGTATCAGTAAGCTAGGGTTTTTTTTTCTTTGTCTCTCGTCCCTATGGCTGACGGATCTGTTAATTCCTCCGAACGGACCATGTTTGATGCTGCTATGTCGTCAAGTTCGTCGTCAATTGTGTCGCTATCCACCGCACATCACTTCATCAGTACGAAGTTAACCTACAAGAATTATTTGTTCTGGCGTACGCAAGTCGTCCCGTTTCTTCACGGGCATGACCTAATGGGGTTTGTTGATGGTACGAAACCCTCACCGGCTGTTCTTCTTCCTGCCGACGCCGATACCGCCGACGCTATGCCACGGCCGAACCCCGCCTATGCTGTTTGGATGCGTCAAGATCAAGCATTGTTGTCCATGCTTGTCTCCTCCCTCTCTGACGAGGTCATGCCAATCGCCGTCGGACGTCGCACGAGTCGTGCCCTTTGGGAGGCCATTGTTCAGACGTTGTCGTCTTCCTCCCGCGCCCGCGCGTTAAACCTTCTCGGCCAGTTGCAGGGACTGGACCAGGGTGATTCGTCGGTTGCGGATTACATCGGGCGAGCTCAGGTGATTGTTGAAGAGCTCACCCTCGCCGGTCGCGTCGTCTCCCTCGACGATCAGAATCTCTTTGTTTTTCGCAGCTTGAGACCGGAATTCCGTGCCCTCACCGCGTCTCTTGCCGTCCGTGGGCAGCCGGTCACGCTCCAGGAGTTGGCGGACTTCCTCGGCGCCCATGAATTTATCGCCAGCCGTGATTACGGCGGTGCTCCGGCGGCTCTTGCTGTTCAGCGCGGTGGCGGCCGATCAGGTCGCGGAGGTCAGAACCGTGGCGGCGGTCAACGAGCAGGCGGTGGCAACGGCGGGTCCAATCGTGGTGGTGGCGGTAAACAGCAAGGTGGCCGCGGTCGCGGACGCAACAGTGGTGGCAATCAGGTTCAGTGCCAGATATGTAGGCGGACTGGTCACGAGGCTCATGTATGCTATAACCGGTATGATTCCCCACCTCAGGCCAATCTAACATATCAAGATAATTCAAATGTTGGTACTCCTCAGACATGGATCCCGGATACAGGGGCAACTAATCATGTTACTCCGGACATTTCTGCTTTGACCACCTCAGAAGAATATGTTGGCAATGACACCTTGCGTGTCGGTGACGGTATGGGTTTATTTATTAGTCATGTTGGTCATGCTTCTTTTAATACCCCTTCTAGATCATTCACATTGTCTGATATACTTCACGTTCCACGTTTGTCTAATTCTTTATTATCTGTTCAGAAGTTTGCATCCGATAATAAAGTCTTTTTTGAGTTTCACCCCTCTTTTTTTGTTGTGAAGGATATCAATACCAAGGAAATACTTCTTCGGGG